TGTTTTCACATTAAAATTGCATTATTGGATACCATATCACACCTACAAGTGGTGATAAATGAATTGGATTTGGTAATGAAATAAAATAAGGTAAATATTCATTAGATTAAGAGTTGCTTATAAGTAGAATAAAAGGAAAAGATTATGAATTATGAAACATTAATTGCATTGATTAACATGTGATTTTGTGATACATTTTCAAATTTATAAAAATTAAGAAACGCATTTAACGTTTATATGCAACTCTTAATATTATACATATCGTAATAGATAAAATAATAAGAAAAAAAGCGGACAACTAATATTATCGACATACTAAAGAAAGAAAGTGGACAGGCAAATGAGCAAATATTAATGACATATGCATGCGTGTTTCTTCTTAAATTTAGCAAAAAGCATTTGTATTATGATATAAAAAAAAATGATATATTAAGCTCTTAGGACCGAGGGCCTATTATAAGAATCTAGAGTGAAAATAGTGAATGGATTCGAACAATCCCTCACTCTCATAAAAGACATTAGATGTTTAAAAATCATTACTCTTAAAATATTACCTCTATTTGTTATCACACATAGAGTATCAAACTAGCTATTCGGAAAAAAAAAAATAAATAATAATAATAATAAAATAATCAAATGATTATGGAAAAGAGTCAAAGCAAAAGTAACTACACATTGATTTCCAATCTTCCCACTTAATGTGATCCCTAAGATCTTTATTAACAAAATATCTAAACTACCGTTTTTAAAAAAAAGGCGTAAACAATACATTAATGCAAACATGTGAAGCTTAAATTACCCCCCAAAAATCAATCCCAAAATTTGGAAAAATGTATGGCTAATTGGGGGACATTGCATTTCTTAAATTCAAAAGAATCAGATCCTCTTCATCTCACCGCAATTACTGCAAAACAAACAGGATACTGAAACTGCACTACTCTTTCTCGTAGTATATTTGCCTTAAGTTATGCTATTTCATTCAACTTTAACGTTCTTACAACCGACTTGCCGCCTTTTCACCTACGCAGTTTCTCTAATTTATTGTATCTACCTTGCTGTGTTCTACACGTGTTATTGTAACTAATAACGTCCGGAAAATATACTTTTTCAGTTGGTTGTGCAATTTAATTTTCATATCTATATTGTGGCATGTTCGGCGGCAGCATTTGAGCAGTTTTTAGCATTTTGATCAAGAAAAAAGGCTTACGTAAATCATTATTAAACCATTTATTAGTCAAATTAAATTATATTAATTGATAATATGAGAATATATAATGAAACTAATCTAACGAATTATATACTTGCAGTTTTTATACCCTTCATAGTAGAATAGTTTAAATACTTGTCATTGCACAAAGTTTTACTGTGTATGTGATAAATTGTACAAGTAGCTACTTTGGTTAATAAAGATGTAATTAGAGTAAGGGATGTATATATCTAAGAAATACTACTTCCATTTCATTTTATGTGTAACAAAGATCTTAACACAGACTCCTAGATAAAATTTGTTTGTGAGTGTTAAATGGAGAGAGAAAGATAGAAATGCATGTGATTAGGAGATTAACAGTTTAACACAGAGAAATGACAAATTAAGAAGGAAAGAAAACATTTGTTGCACATAATGTGTAGCAGCCGGTTTAGTAAATATTGCACATATGAATGGAGGTAGTAATAGACAATTCACAGAACCATACCAAAAAAGAAGTGTACATGTTCAAATTATTTTGAAACACATAATAACAATTTATTTTTTTTTTCGAAGAAGATGTTTAACTATATTAAGATGGTGACACTGAGACAGTGATAATAAAACATGTGAGTCAAAATATGTACACGTTAAAAAGTCAAACGGTTTTAATTATTGTAAAAGGAGTATTTTACAAGTTTGAGCAACTCCAAGTAGTGCCAACTATAGCGAAATAGGACAAACCCCTTAAGAAATTAAATTATAATTGAAGAATATGAAGATAGTCGGTGAAATTATGGAGCTACTCAAATTGAAGAAAAGATAAGAGAAAAATAGTCTTGTGGTTGGACACATGTAACTATGTAAGACGTCAATTGAGAAGGAAATTGGACATTTGTAATGATAGTTGGAGGAAACCAGAGATAACTAAAATGAACAATACATGGCAATTACTAGATTTGTAAGAGCATGTAGTACTACATTGAACTATAGAAATCAACGGAGAAATATAATTTTGGTAAAATCCATTAAAAAAAAATATCTTTTTGTTCCTTTTTATTCTTCTCATTTTAAATCTAATCTTTTATGAGACTAAAAAATTAAAGTATAAAATCAGAGAGTAACTTTTTAGTTCATACAATCTACCCTAACCTTTTAGGAAGATGAGCTTGGAATTGTTGTACATTATTTACTCGATCCTACTCGACCCTATTACTTGGATTTAGCACTAATTGCTACTTTCGTCTTCGCCAAGTGCCCAAGTGGCCATATTTCATGAGCAGGTTGATGTCTGATCGATAGTCGCATGGTCCTTTGCATTATTGTCAATTTATAAAGAAAGAATACAATTTAACATTTGTAAGGCTCCTTTGCAAATTACAAAATGTCATAGTTGATGACATATTCAACAAAACTCAGAAATAAATAGCAAAATCGCATATCACGTTCGATGCTATACAACTATTTATACTTTATTTTTTTAATAATAAGGAAAATTCACTAAAGACGAAAATAAAGAAAATCCCTTAAGTGAATCCCATGAAATTTAATACCTACAAGACATCACTGAGGTCCCAGATGGGGAGTGCGATGCTACTACTCCACCACCTCAAATTCAGTATACAACTATTTCTACTTAAGTAGTAATTGAGGGCAACTACTCTTGTACGTATATTATCTAGATAGATTGCCAATTCAATTATTACAAAATAATTCCAATTCCAACCAAGATAATGGCAGTAATTAACAAAACATTGAGCATTCCAAATACAAGCATAAACCCAATTTAAAATCAGCAACAGTGTAATGTATCAAGTATAATCCATGATTAAGACAGTAAAGTGAGGAGAGAGGAGATAAAAAAGCACACATGAGTGGGAAGTGGGCATGCCTGATTGCCTGCCGACACTGGAACAGCTATGTTGTGGGTCTCACACTCACTTCATGCAGCGTAAGTCGGCCAAGTTGTGTATAAACTGCCGTATATCATTATTTCTCCGAACTACTCTGTTTACAGGCATTTAAACAACCATGTTTGTACACTCAAGGTGACTAGAAACTTCAGCTTCTGTGGAATACAACTGCATTATATCCTAAATCTCTGTTTAAGAGTAATTGCGGTCTTGATTTAGTGTTTAGCGACAAATGATTCATGGATCCACACAAACTTTCAAGGAAGCAATCATAAAAAGCCTATAGTACTGTTAGAAATCCTAAATTCCTGATATATGATTGACACATTTTTCTTAGCATATTGCAACAATTTACTACGGGGTTACAACTTTTGGTCACAAGGGTGCAGTCCTCATTGAACTTGAGGAATACAACACATTCAATAATTTTTACTACGGCAAGCATGTCACAAACCAGGATCTTGAACACAATAAACAACACACAAATCCTGTTAATAACAACTATAATTGAACCCGACATTACACACACACACAAACAAACATAAATCCCTGCTAATATCAACTATAAATGAACCTGACATTAGAAATTTCCCCAAAATAACAAGACCTAAAATAGGCTACCAATTTGCCTGAAAAACCTGTTTAGCAAGTAAAATTGTGGGAGCACCAAACTATACAATGCATATAAAAGTAATGGGAGAAAAAACACTGTTGTGTGCTTATGAACAAAACACTGACACCTGCAAATGCAAATCTGAACTGTTGTGTGCTTGTGTCTACTGTCACATTAAATGAGCTTAGGCAACCAGAAACATAAAAACACATGTGATATCACCACATTTAAGTTCACAGAAATATAAGATTGATCAGCAATTTATGCTGCATTTGAAAATGGGTAGCAAAAGGTTCATATAGTTGCATGCTCGAAAGATTTTGAGAAAATGTGTAATGGTTTATGCCTCTAGGATCTAGCCAAAAGAAAGAGTGCTATTCTCCTAAAGACACTAATTACTCCTTTTATTGTACATTGTGCTAACATGCACTTATAAAGACAACCAAACTCTCTCTTGAATGAAGCCATGATAGGATCAAATAAGCAAACAGACTAAGTGGCCGAATATTAGAACATAAGAAGTATTATTTCCTTGAAACATGAGAAGTCCACTAACTTAGGAAGGACATTGATCACTTTCTAGGAAATGCAACTTCACTTTTAGCCAACCAAACAACTCTATAATCTTCTAAATCTCATGTTTCTTATGCAACCAACCAAGAACTACAATTTAAGTAATTGGCACTCTCATGAGTCTCATCTTCTTCCCATCAAAAATTTTGTTTGATCAATCCTGACTCACAATGTTTCCACAGAAGTAGGTTCATCATACCAAAAGGTTAGTATTTGAGGACTCTGATGCTAGACCTGCAGGACATGCTGGGTTCTAAAGGTTAAGGCAACATATAAAGCTCGCATTCTTTCAGTTAATGAGTGATGGTTACAGAGTAATATCAATGCCTTGTAATACATGAATACAGAATTGGTGGCTTTGGTGCTCTAATAATACACACAAGATTCATGTAGATGATTCTGTTGTTCCAGTTTGAAATTTTTTTATTAACGAGAAGAGAAAAAAAAACATACAGAGAAATGATAGCATAAGAGCATCATTTCTAAACCACAAGTTACATCACTTTGAAACAAGCCACGCAAATAGGTAAACCAATACCAGATCGAGCTAAATCAACACATAATACCTAAGTGCAAGCTGAATTACTGCTCCTTAACTCGCCCATAGAGAATAACATTCCCTCTGGTACCTTAACTTCCTTGAATTAACAAGTTAAGAACTCCATGGCCCAGCCCCAGCCAACCACAGTTCTCAATCTGGTCAACAGGGCATGCTAAGAATTAAAACTCACCATATAAAAAGAGGGATTATTTGGTTTATAGCACTCATTTCATCAGAAAAACTGAAAGTCACCGATTTTGAGTTACAAATGAAGACAATGTCAGACAAAAAAATTACAAGCTCTTTCCAACAGGTTACAACTGCCTGAATCCAATTCAATTGTTCATACCACCATCAAATATATATATTCATTTTCTACATGAAACTGCCATTTTCCAAGCTCAAGCTCTAAGCAAATTAAGAAATATAAAGGACCTACTTGAACCAACAAAAATCCACCCAAAAGTTTGGGGCCATGCATAAGGTAATGCCTGAATATTACTTCCAACAATAGTTTATAATAGGCATGAACAGATAAAACACCCAAGCACAACAGGGCTTAAGTAAAAATTGATCAAAATTAAACTGACCCATTCAACAGGCAAACATGGTGAAGCACCAAGATGCGAATAGCAGAATAACATAATAGTCCGGTTACTAGATCAATTTATCAATTGATACATGCATACATCGCACTTACCCCAGATTCACAAGCACTACCACTCCCAATGCAAAGCCTCCCATAATTACGGGCAACCAGGGTGAAAGCAAATCACAAAACTTAGGTGCAAGAATGAATCTATACATGTCGCCATCTAGAATGTGGTCAAATGTAGATAACAGGTGTCATATGTTAGTTGCACGCCCTGAATGTGTTATGAGAGGCTGTGATAATATGTATAGACTGCCTCCAATTACATGTTCCACTAGGAACATGTAATTTGGAAAGAATCAGACGTGGACAGGGTCCCAGAAAAAACAAAAACATTGCCACACATTACTTGCTTCATCAAATCCACTTGACTTCTCATTATGCAAACAAAAAGAAAACAAACTCTCAAGTATGATACCAAAACTAATTGGTTTTTTGTACAAGTACAAATCAAAATAATTGGCACTCTGTTTTAGTCAGCGAAATTACACTTGATCTATCTTGTTGACTCATATTGTGTGCACAAAAAATCTTGGTATTAGGCTACATTTTTATTCAAAAAAAAACAATTGAACTATATAGTATTTTCAATGGAGACAGGTTTTACATGTGACAATCCATTTGTTTATTTCATTGTTAAAAAAGTTTGACAGAAAAGAAGAAAGTCAAATGTAAGAGTGGGAAGAAGGTGAAGGGAGTTAGGAGATAGAGAGGAAAACAAGGCATTTGTTCATTGAAAAAGAAAATCTTGTTCATTCTTGAAAAATAATAATTTTTCAAGTTACAAACCAGAGTATAAACAGGAAAACTACCTTTACTTATTACCAGCCACTCACAGCCTAAGCCTCACAATATTAGGAAAATTTTGGTATCAAGGAGCATACAGTTGAACCTGCAAGAGATGGTGAAGACTATAGGAGAAAAGCAAAATTTATGACTGAATTTTTCAGTTTAAAGAAAAGTAATGATTCAAACTTGGCTCATAAGGAGCCTAGGAGCCATAACCCAGATTTAAGCCTTCAAATAAATAAAAACTTACAAGGGGAAAAAAAACGTGTGTTCTAAAATGTTCAAACTTGGCTGCATTCACAACAGTCTTCGATTGTTCAAACTTGGATTATGCATAGAAGACAAAAAGAACAGATGTGTAAAAAATGAATAAGAGAATTATTCCAAAAGCAATAGAGAAATAACGAAACCGTAAAACCATAAAAGTGACACAATGCATATAGGAACAGATCTTCAAGTGGAAAAAATAGCTATCATCTCAAACATCAGTAATCACAATTCATGTCTAAGAACAATGACAGCACATAAACTGATAACAACAATTGTAGAGTTTTAATTTCTTTAATTACTCGGAGTCTGACACGCAAAGCAAAATACATCTATTAGTTACATTCCAACAATGATGAAAATCATAGGAAGAGATCATAAGCTTCTTATTATTATATGGACAACTTCCTCAGCTAACATGGAAAATGTGCTAAAAAATTGTACAAGATCAAAAAGGAATCGAAGCTAAACAATTACCAGAGCATCGCCACCAAAAAACAGAAGCCAATAATGAGACACAAATTCTTGAGAATATAATCCTGTCTTTGGCTGGCAGGAGTTGCAACACCACCATGATGATGCTGCTGGAATCCATGACCGTGCTCGTACCCATGACCGTGGTGCATTGCATTACCATGAACCGCCTGTGGATAAGCATAAGGAAACCCATGCGCGGTCCCATACATTGGATTATGAGGAAACCCATTAAACTGTAAACTCAACAATGAAGGGAAAAGTCCACCAAACCCAGCAGACATAGTCATATTCCCAAACCTAGCAGTTGCCATTGGCATAAACCCACCAAACAACCCAAAACCCAAATTAGAGAAATAACTTTGCTCAGGCCCCGGTGGGGTGGGGGCGGTTTCAGGGCGTTGCCCGGATGGTCGATTAGGAATATCGATACCCGGGACCGGCCTCGATCTAGGGTCAGTATTGGATTTTCCTCTACCATACAATGGTACAAGTTTATCTTCCTGAACAAGGGCTTTACAAACAGGACATTCATGTGATTGAGAATGATATCGAAGCCATCTATACAAACATGGCCAACAATAAAGATGACCACAAAGTGTAACAATTGGGTCTTGTGCTAATTCAAAACAAATATTACACTCAAAATCACCAGCATCATTATTATCTTTATTGTTATTATTATTATCTTTTGCTTCTCCATTACTCGAACTTGATTCAGCCTTCATTGATTCCTCAAAACCACTTTCCATTTTTCTAAACCCTAATTCGTGTACAATTTTTAAACAAATCCCAGAAATTTTAATCGACCTGCAAATAATGGGATCGAAGATTTCAATGCAATCGAAATTTAGAATAAAACAAATCAATTAAGCAAGATCAAAGAGTAATAAAGCCAAATATAGAATTAAAAATATGAATAAATATGAGATTTAATCAACGAAAAAAGGAGAAAACTTACCAGTGGAATTGGTTGAATAGTGAGAAGCACGAAAAAAAAAGGTGATGTATAAATAAATACGAGTAATAATAATTAGTCACAGTTGAAATTGGAAACTGGAAAATGGAAAAGAAAATTAATATATGAACAAGAACAACGGAGATTAGGAAGGTTCGAGGTTGTCATCGATGCTTGATTTTCTTTTCTTTTTTTTTTTTTTTCAAGTGGGCTTTCTTTATAGGATGGAAAAGTCATTGGGTCAAGACCAAGAGAATCAAGACTATTTTTTAAAGTGGGTTTAATTACAATTACTAGCTCATTAATAACCCAACAATTAAGACCTTTGGGTTAACCCTTTAATGTCAATATTATAAATCTTTGGAAAATGTTAAATGAATAAGAAGTAACCAAAAAAAAATTGACATGATTAAGAATTTACTATACCAATCTACTCCATACCGGTGTTTTATCTTTTTTGGCTTGTTTTCTTAGAGCAATTATTAAAATTAAAAATAAGAGTCTTGGGTTAGTGTGGCCCAAATTCCATAATTCTAACTTTTTATGTCTCAAGGTTTCTACAAAACTTTACTACGTTGAGAGATTGACGAAGAATTGTGAAGAAATCTAGAATTGGTGAATGCTCATGAAGGTTCTAGATTATGTAAAGAATTTAAAATATGTGAGGATAAATGGTTCCACACACTTCTTACATCTCCATACATCACCTATAAATATTAGTGTTGGGCATCATTTGGTAAGATGTATCCACTTACATCATCTTCTAATGCTCCGATCCCCTCATACAATCTATGCTTAGAGAGAATTTACTGACAAATATCCGCTCTCTAATATATCATGATCGGAGTTTCTACCTATACCCAATCTCCCTAATCTACTCTTTGTGAGTTCCTAAGAGTTTGCTTGTAATATTCACCCTTTCAAGGGTTTTGTACTCTCTTATTTTTCGTATAGTGGATTTTCGAGTGCTTGTCGTCGTGAATTTTTTTGATAATTTTTCCCACGATACATATTGTGTGTCCATTTCTCTTTTACTATTTATAAGTTTCTTCTATGTAAAAATTAAAAATTCATGATGAAGAGGTAAGGATGAACATATAAGTATAAAGCGTATCTTCCTGAAAATAAATAACAATGTAAACCCTTTTAGCCACTTTAGGTTACAAGTAGTAGCAGTCATTGAGAGATACTTGACCCCAACTCATGACAATGCAATGTCACTTGCTATTTAGTCATTCGCAAATTAGGTAAAAGGACTAATTAATTCCATATTAGAAGATTTTGATGATAATTTGCCCAATCCAAGTTATGCCACTATAAAGATCTATATTTCAACCAATGCCCACTATAAAGGTATATATTTCAAACAAAAAAAAAAAATTAATTAATTAATTAATATCAGACCCCAAGCAGCCGAGTATGAAAATAACCGACAAACTTGAGTCAATTGATTAGGAAGTCCATTGAGATTATACTTTGATGATAATTTGCCCAATCCAAATTAAACCTTAGTTTGATCATATTTTTTTAATTTATAAGATGTTAGGTTTAAAATGCCTTGTAACACTCTTTGTCGAAAGTTATAACACAACAATACTGTTTCGGATGAAAACAATCGAATCTCGGAAGATCCTTTTATCTTGAGGGAACTTGGTCTCGGTCCGAACGACGCAGGAGCCGAGGGTTTCCTGCACAACAAATACACGTAAACTAGCCTCGGGGGGGACGCCGAGGAAGGCCCCTCCGATGCTTAAGTCAGTATATTAGAGAGAGAAAGCTGTGCAAGAGTTTAGTTGCTTGAGGCTTTATTGTCTTACCAAGAATTGACCAAATTGTTGGCTTTTATACCTTGGCTAATGAAGGAGGCGGATTGGGCCCGGAAGTCAGTTGGGCTGGGCCAAGCTGATTGGGCCGTTGACTGACCTTGACATGGCTTTGAGGATGTTGATTTTTGACTTTAGCACATTTGGAGAGTTGAACCTTAACCTTGGGCTTTTAATTGGATCATTCAGTGACCAGGCCCAATTGGACTAAATTGGACCCAAACAACTTGCCCCCCAGACCCGATTTGGAAGGATGACGGGTCGGGTTTGATTTAATCAGAAAAGGAGGGAAGTGAATGATTTGTTAATCCAAAAATGTGAATTTAAACCGTAATTAACCCATGATTAATGAGATAACAACAGTTAATGTGGATAATTGCGGAAGTTGGACGGGTAGTGGGCGATTTAACTGCAAGGTCGTGTGTTTAACGGTTACTTAGTGGGGTGCTTGAGAGAAATTGAAACGCAGACTCCTTGAATTCCCATTTCTGGAGATATAAATAGAGGCGCGTCTTCTCTCCCCACTCATTCATCAACACAAACCCAGAATTCTCAAGAACGCTCAAGAGCCCGCATCAAAACTTCGCAAATTCCCCGAGCATTAAGCTTAGAAGCTGAGACTTGTCACTACCAATTCGTAAATCGGCGACTTTTGCTTCAGATCAAGGTAAATTCCTTTGATTTTATTTCATTTTTCTTCGACTTTGCACTCTTTCCCCTTTTTCGACTTTTTCCTTCGAAATTCGTCAATGGTGAGGGGAGTTAGAGGTGGAGCCCGTGCTCCAAGAAGAGCAAGGCTAATCCCCGATCCCAGGGACAGGATTGGGACCTGGAATGGACGAAGGACAGAGTCTGACCCTGCTGAAGGGGTTAGGGCGACTCCCATTTCTTCGGCTCCTCCTCAGAGGGCTGAGGGGGTGAGCGCTTCAGGACGGGATGATGAAGTTCCCGCTGTCCTTTGGGATATCCTCCCAGGGTTTTCAGAGTGGGAGGATGCCGAAGTAGCTTCGGCCATGATAAAGAACCGCCCCTACTCATGGTGGGTGGAGAATGCTGATCAGTACCGGTTTGCCGAGCAAATTGAGTTGCATTACGGCATCCTTGAAGCCGATGGGTATTGGTGCCGAATGCCCACGGCCTCCGATAGAATCCACCGTCCACCCCCGGGGTATGTGGGGGTGTACACAAGACAACTCCAGTACGGGCTGAGGTTCCCTTTGGACGTATTCGTCCGAGACTTGCTGATCCATTACAACATTTCCCTGTGCCAGCTGACCCCCACCAGCATCCGAAGGGTAATGACGTACTTATGGGTCTGCAAATTCTTCAGGTACGTGCCGAACCTGCATTGCTTCAAAAGGCTCCATCGGCTAGTGCCAAACATTCAAAGTGGGCACGGATGCCATGGCTCTGGGTGGTATCGGATTGAGTCTCGGCCCCCGTTCCTAACCATGTGGCCAAACGACTCTTCAGACAAGGACTGGAGAGGTCAATGGATTTGGGTTAGGGCACCCACGGAGCCGAGCCACCCTTACGTTTTCAGCGCTCCCCGGTATCTTGCCGAGCCGGATCCTGATATGGGAAGTTTAGGTCCTCCCGAAGATAGCGGGCCAGACCCGAACCTTAATCAGCAGAACATCTTCGGCAAGCTGCCGAACCGGGGAGGCAGCGGCCGAATGCAGCATATCCCGGAGACTTGGCTCCCCGATACGCACTATGTTTTCCAAGAGAATATGCTGGCAGCTGTCGGCCTCAGCCGAAAGTTTAGGGATGGTAATCTTCTTCGGCTGGGGCCGAGGCCTTTTAATTATCTCTTTTCTTCTTTCATTTTGCTTTCTTGTGATGTGCCGAACTAACTGAATTGACTTCTCCCCTTTTCTTTTTCAGAACGGGACGAGACCAACGTCGGCATTGATTACGCTCGCCTTGGCGTCAACCGAGAACGAGTCGTAACTGATCGGGCTCCCCCTATCACTGAACCAAGGCGCCGAGAGGTTCACCTAGACTCTTCCCACTTCCAAATTGAGGCTGTTGCTCTGTATCAGAGGCAGAAGCCTTGGTGGAAGAAGAGAGATCCCTTGTTTCAGCTGCTGGAAGAAGAAGCTGAAGCTGCCCGTACAGCCGAAGAGGTTGCACGGGTTATTGAAGCTTGTGAAGGTGGAGAAGGGTCCTCCAGAGTTGCTGAAGAAGCTGCGGCTAGGGCAGCTGAAGAAGACGAGGCTTTGCTGAAGACCTCGGTGAGCCTTTAGACTTAACTTTGTCTTTCTTCTTTTTTTTTTTTTTTACTCACTTTCTTCCCCCTGCCTGCCCTTTACAGTCTGAAGAGAGCAGCAGACACTGGGAAGGGAAAGCCCCTGTTCGTCCCGAAGACCAAGTACAAGAAGAGTCTTCAGACTCGGGTATGGACGAGCAGCCGCTTCAGAAGAGGCGCCGAAGAATGGCCATCATCGGCCCGCATGACTTTCAGCGGAGGCCGATGACCATCGGCGTTGAAATAAGGGAACCCGAGGAAGGCAATGGATCGCCGAGGGTTCCCCGGCCACCGCCTCAATCACCCCCAAGGGCCTCTCCGCCACCCCCCGAGATGGAGGTGGATCAGAGAACTCCCAAACCTAAGGGAGAGGTTCTAGAAGAAGCTCGAGAGAGTGCCGCCGAGGACAAGGATGGAGACGCCGTGATGCCCAGTGCTGAGGGTTTCACGGCGGACATTGCCAGAGAGGTTGGGGCCTTCGTCCTCACACCTGAAGAAGAAGAGGTCACAATAATTGACTCTTCTGAGAAGGAGGAGGACGTTGAGCCACCCAAAGCTAAAGAGGCTCCATCGTCATCCTTCCCTTCCTTCCAGACGCTGCAGTCTGGAGAAATGGGTTTCTCGGCCCCCCGAATTCCAGTCCCAGACCACATCTGGGACCTCATATGGGGTCAGAACCGAGAAGGTGCTGCAGCCTACTTCGGCGATTTTGCTGGCCTGTCCGAAGTAGATAGGGCAAGGATTTGGTCGCTGAAGGCCACTGCTGGGATGGGCGAATCCAGCAGATCAGTTCCTGACCCTGCCAGGTCCAACCAACTGCTGATGATGCAGGTAATTCTCCTTGCCTTGATTTCTTTCTGAACTCAACCTTTCAGCTATTATTTTTTACTTTTTTAACTTGTGCCCCTGTTTTCAGTTCGTGCACAATCAGACTCTCACTGTAGAGCTGATAGATTCCCTACAAGATAGGGTGGACGCTGCCGAGCACGATCAAAGGGTAGCCGAGGAAGAGCTAAAGCTTGCTAAGCTGAAGCAGGCAGCAGCTGAAGAGAAGCAGCAGAAGGCTGAGGAGTACGAGAAAAAGGCTGCTGAAGCCCTCCAGACCTTCTGCGACGCTATGGAGAAGGAAGTTTTTCCCCCACTGATGGAAGGGGAAAAATTCCTCCAAGAGCACCTGGGGGTGGACATCTCCAAGTTCAAGGCTGCTATCGAGAGCCGAATCCAAGAAGGAACTGCTGCACAAGCTGAAGTGCAGCATCAGCTAGAATCTCTTGAAGCCAGCAGAATGGCTGCTGAAGAGATGCTCCAAGCTAGGGATGTCCAACTCTCAAGGGCTGCTGCTGCTGCTGAAGCTCAAAGAGCTAAG